CTTGCCGAATGTACAGTTTCAATTCACACATGGTCTGATTGAAAACTGAATGTTTTGGTTATATTGGTTTGGATGTTAAAGTTGTTCAGATCACTGAACAAGAAAGGGTTTGAAAGTGTCATCTCTGAATTTGTGATAAAAAAACAGCTGCAATTTTGATTCTTCTATTATAACTTTGTGTCTTCCCAGCTGTGTATCAACGAGGAATTTAAGACGAAGCTGTGGGTCGTGGTGATAAGCGCCCTAAAATCGGGCCTAGTCAGTATTTGCCGGCCTATTTTTATCGTTCTCGGTGAACCAAGTCACTAGGGGCGAATGATGGGGGAGGACGCTGCGGGGACCCTGGCTAGCTCCATTTTGCTGACTCATGGTGGTTAACGTCGGTCTCCTTGACAACTCGAGTCCTTGCCATTTTAAAGACATTAATTTTGTACAACCTTTTCCCCCCTGAGCTTGCATTGCGAACAGTAGCTTTGGGGTCGTTTTATGGTCATACCAATTTCCATGTTAAACAAATCTGCTATGTATGTTTTTCTGCATATACACAAAAACATGTTGGAAGTTTTTAAATGTCATTTTGCCCCATCCGTTTTTAAGTGGTAATTGATGCAATTGTGTATTACAAGTACACAAACAATCGAGTAAATCAACAGCAATCTGTTGTCATAAACGGTTTCGGTCAGCAAAAATGGGTTCTGAGTTTGAATCGTATATTAAACCTTTCAACAATGTCTTACCTAAATGACATCACAGCCACAGTGCCCTCTGTTGTTCGGAAAAGCATGGACAATTTTACATAAATTTTAAAAAGTATCACTTTTCTAATGAAGTTCACCAAAAGATGTCACACAGGTCTTGTGCCCCGAAGAAGAGTGTTAAGATCACGCAAAAAGACTACAAATAAACTTGTACAAAACGCGCGACTCAGAAATATTCCTCGCATTAACGTAACCTATCATGCTGACGACTTGTTATCAATTCTTTAAGTCCAGTCCGGACAGACGCTCTTGAACCAGCCCTCACAGGGGCTACTCATGCCCTAGGGGTCAAGTACTTTTGCGTCTGCTTGCGTAACTAAGCGGGTAACCCCCTGGGACCGTGGATTTGGGTCTGTCATGCCTCGTGTTCATAATGTCAAACGGCTACCGGATGGGACAAGAGGATTAAAAGTCTTCACCAAGGCGTGATCGTCAGTCAGGAGAATAGGAGATGGAGGATATATAAAAACATCCTGGTGAGATTTTTAATACTGGTATTGCTGTCAGAAATCATGGAATGCCCGGGCAATGGAATGCGGCGCATACAAACCATGTATCCTCAACAGGTGTTCTGTTATTACAGTTGACAGCTATAATGAATATATAAGCTCACTGACCTTCAACTGGATTTCTCCATCCTGACAGGTTCAGGTACAAAGGTCATTTTGGAAGTCTGACGGCACTTGGAGATTTAGTGATGAGTGTGAAATGATGTCAAGTTTAAACCTTAGGCTTCCGCCTATTCTAAGGCATATAGGCAAAGAACCGGTATTTCGTCCACTGAGTATCAAATACCTTCGAACAAAGATAAGAAGAGCACTGTTATCCCAAGGTCCAAAATCTTTGTATTTCTTTGTTTCCATTACTGATAATACAAGATAACTATAATAACAAAGGAATCTGTGAAGCCCCAATTAAGGGTTTTCGTATTCCACTGTACATGCGCTCCATAACCAAGATCAGATAAGAGGAAGCAAAACATTGTTCCCGAGGGAATCAAGATTGCAATCATGAAGTGTGGCAGCTTGAAGAATAAATCACCCTGAATTTGAAACTTCTGTTGAACTTAAAAGACCAGATGGAATCTTGGAGGTACGCTGGAATCATGGTTATAGCAGTGGCGTGGGGGTGGGAGGGGGGCTGGGGGCACGGTGCCCCCCCCCCACAAAATGTTTGGTACCCTCCAGGTGCCCCCCACTGAAAAAAACCCGGATGAATGGGTGTTGAGCAAGGCTAACAAAAACTTGTCCCAAAAACTACACCACTGAAAGCTGGTGCCCCCCTATTAGATACTGGTGCTCCCTCGTGCCCCCCACCAGTAGAATCCTAGCTACGTCACTGTTGGAGAGTACCATTAGCTCGGCATAGATATTTCCATCAAGCTTACCAGTTCATCAAAAGGTCAGCGAGACACGAAGAGGGGGGTGACCTGGGACCCAGGGGTCTGAAGAATAGTGTACATAAATTACAGAAAAATGTGAAATCACCATTTGTCATATATTGGGAGGGGAGTTTAATATCCCTGGTATGCTTTGGTGCCCTGCAGATGACATCATCTTTCCCATCAATGAAATCCAGTCTAGAATCCTGACTTTTGTCGATGACTACCAGCTCGAACAGAAAGTTGGCTTTGCGATAAGAGTAGACGGCGTTCTACTGGTACATAGAAAGCATTTTGTACCTACTTAGTACAAGACACCTAAATTTAGTTGACAGCTTTCAGTCATTTGAGCTAATTTAAGAGAAGGCCATGCACGTGCTGGCCTCTTAGTGAGACTTCCCAGCGAAGAAATCGACAGGGCAGGTACCAAGTACCGAGTAGTACCAAGTAGACAAGGTCGCCGGTCATCCTATTGCGGACGTGACACATACTGCACTGCTAATTATGTGCAATCTCAACATGCGCATCTGCAGCTCGAGCACAGTGCAAAAGACTCGGACACTGACCGAACGTTGACCTCACGCATCCGTAATGGAAGGGAAATCTTCTAAACCTGGATGAACACCGTGGTCTAAGTTTTGTAAGCAGATATGGTGCTTTGTATGAAAGCAACGTTCGCTCACCATCAACATCGTTATTTTTTCATGGGTCGACGAGTTAAACTTCATGCTTGTACAGTTAAGTGCATGAGTCATGGTCACACACTAAGCTTGTAGTGGGGCGGATCCAGGTATGTTTTCCGGGGGTGGGGGTTAGGGCAGAATTGTTTTTGAAAAGCGGAAACGATGATGAAACGGTGACATATACAGGGACGGATCTAGCTTTCAGAAAAGGGGGGGGGGGGTGATGAACATACTGAAGGTCTACCCTCCTAAGGGATCCACCGGAAATCGATGTAAATGTTTCATGTAGATGACAGAGCAATTCTCGTCGGCTTTTTTTTTTGGTAGGCCTACTCATTTTCAGTCATTTCACCGGTAGTTCCATTTAGTCCGTGACTGAAGGGGGGGGGGTTGCAATCCCCCATCCACCTCTCGCATAGGCACTTTTTACAACAGTATTGGTGCACTTTAGTTTTTTTTATCATTTTCTTATTTTTTCACCTATTTTATCTCAGAGTGGGGGGAGGGGTTCTGTCCCGTGGATCCGCCAGGGTGTAAAAGAACTGTGCACTGCGCTGGACTTGTCTCCTTGCCGTCTGGATTGGGATATGGGGGCGCAATATCCCAGCAACCGAGGCTCCTTTCCTGGGATTTGCACTTCGCTGGTTCGTAAACGACACGGGGAATGCAGCGTTGCGGCTGCATCGGTACCAACACATTTAGTAGACTCTCTCCATCAGCATCTCAACTGATGAGGGGGTGCTTCTACTCAAGTCAGATATACATGTTGTCGTCAAAACTCGACCTGATTGGGTATATTGATTCATACAGCTGGTTGATATAAGTCAGTTTATAAACCCGGCCTATTTTGAGGGCTGGTACCATAATTACATGTATAGGTCTGTCATTCTGACTTTCTCAGCTGCAGTATCTACGGCTGTCCTGCGTGACTCTGACAATAAAATGTCCAAACCTATACAACGACTTCCTTTAAAGTTGTTTTACATGTCCTCCGGGTGCGCGTAAATGGCGAGTCAGGACTAGCACTAGGCCCTACTTTCGTGATAGACGTTGATGGTATGGTTGCCGTATGCTGCTATGGACACGGTGAAAAACTCCCTGTGGTTATAAACCGCTAAAGAAGTAAACCAACAGGAGAATAGGACAATACACTTACCTTATATTTTCGTTCGACCTGGTCCATCCGGTTTGCATGTCACTGTGCCCCGTGAGGTCGCCTTTTGCCTTTATACGTGAGTGCACCCTGCACGTAGCTTGTCAGCGAGCGCTCGGGGGCGTTACCTCCTGGGTTAAGTACGAACAACTTATAAAGAACGCCTCGATCAAGGTTTATAAAGTTTGACCCATCACACTCGGGGCTTGATATGTGGATCAACAACGCATCTAAGAAACTCAATTTGGTGTTTGGACATTATTTTAAGAAAGGCCTATCACTGTCACGTTACCCGCGCGTGATACCCGTTCTATTGTTGGGTGCGTTCAATTAGCTTACGCGTGTAAGTCAAACTTACAAGAGAGCGTTCGTTTATAAATTTAGCCATCACGTGATCTTCGTGCCTGCCCTGGTGTCAGCCACCACTACCCTGGCTGATGAGCAGGTCTCTGGAGGCTGCCTGAGTGTAATGACGTCACGAATGGACTGTTAGAGCATGGACACGATGAAACGTCGCGGGGTCTTGTCCTTTTTCCCAAAATGCCTTGGCAAATACACTGCAGCGTTCAGTTAGCCTCATTTCGAGGCTTCCCTTGCGTGTACACTGTTGTAGTCAGGGAAGCTAATCGAACGCACCGTCTATAGCGAAAGCAAATACAGTCCAATCAAAAGACGTCCGTGCATCACGTGTCCACACAGTTTCCAAAGGTTGGCCATTTGTAGGCAAGTACGTACTAATTATGTTGTACACCGGATGTTGGGCGTTGGAACTGAGACCTTGGAGGAATAAATAACCGTGAATTTTGTATGGAGTGGGACAGATAGTCGTTACTTAGGCAATTTACAGCAATGGCGAAAGTGGCTGAGTGATTCAAAATACATTGATACAAATTAAGAAAAAATAGAAACAGACCAATGAATGTCAAATATCTAAATGTTTCAATTTTTCCCAGTCTTGTTAAATTTAAATTTTAAAAACATTTTAAGGACACTTTATTCATCCTGGTTTTATGTTTATACTTTAGGTTAATAAGGAATAAACATGGCTGATAGGCAACAATATACCAGAGCACCTCAAGGCGCAGACATTGAGGAAGGAGATCAGAGCGAGACAGGCAAGGAGAAGCGAGGAAAGTACGGCTGTTTCTCCTGTCACCCCTCGTTCCTCTCGTGCCTTGCCACTGAGAAATTCTTTCTCCTGGCTATGTGCGCGCTGGTCTTCAGTGATGCCTTCAACATCGGCACCCTGGGTGGCGCCCTCACGAGTCTGGAGACCCGTTACGAGCTGACCGTCTCGCAGCTGGGGCTGATCGAGAGCCTGTACGAGGCCGGCAATCTGATCTTCGCCCTCTTCGTGGTGCACTTCGCCGGGCGAGAGGAGCACCGGCGCCCGATGTTTATCGGCCTGGGTGGGCTGACCATGGCCCTGGGAACGGCCATAGCCTACTCGCCCCAGTTCCTTTTCTCCCCGTACCAGCCCGACTGGCGGTCACTCTCCACCAATCACACCTCGGAGCCACTGACCTGCGGATCCGATTGGCCGGCCCAGTCCAGCGTGGACTTATGCGATCTCGATGATCAGCACACGTTGAGACAGGAGAGCCACCTAGCGTACGTGATTGTAATTTGCGGTGAGATCCTGGTCGGTATTGGCTGGACACCAGTGATGCCTTTATCGATGTCATATATAGATGATAATGTCAACGCAAAGAGCTCTGCCATGTTTATAGGTGAGTTTCCTTTTCTCTGTATTGCACACTAAAGGCCCGCTCATACTAAAGGCGAGAGCGAAGCGAACCTTTTACGCAGTGCGAATGTGTCATCTGACGTCACAAATTCGCGTTTGTGTTCGCTTTCGTGAGGAGTATAAACAAGCCTTTGGGAAAAAATGCAGCGAAACAAATCATCCGTCTAATAAGCATCCTTGGCGTGATATCCCAAGGTAGGGACTTTGCCAAGTACCAGCGTAGAAGTGTAAGTAGGGAAACTGATGCTGGTAAGATCTTACCAAATAAAACTTAAGCTCGTTATGTGAGCCTTTTTTGTATAAAAAAAATAAACTGACGTCTGAGTGTTTTGACGTTACACTCAGGTTGGCATCCCTAAGAGAAGTGGACATTAGGGCGGGGGTGAAAATGCTGTGGGTTTCTGCTTACTTACCCTTTTCAGTATTTAGATCACAATACGGGCGATTCCCAATAATGCACCACCAAGAGTTTGCAACGCGTTGGCCAATCACAACGCACGAAATTTGTCGACCCTTTCCAAACGCGCATTGGGTCGACAAATTTCGTGCATTGTTATTGGCCAACACGTTTCAAACTCTTGATGGCGCACTATTGTGAAACGGCCGTATTGGAGATATTTTAATAGTCGAGGACTGCTCCTGAAATGCACAAAGCGGGTGGACATTGCAGACCACAGCACATAAATCTTTTTAATACCTGTAGGCTAGAGCCTTGTGGTATGTTGTACTTGGTGTGGGTGGGGGTCGAAAATATGTGCAAGGGGTGTAGGTTCTAGTGCCCGGAACTTCGTTAGTATATCGATTACATTCTCAAAACTTTTACCTTAGGTATCACTCAGAGTATGTTCGGCATCGGGACCATTATTGGGTTTCTGGCGAGTGCAGCTGTAGCCTCTCACTGGGTCGACTTCTATCGGGTGGACCCGGACACAATCAAGGTGAGGTGCCCGGTCTGAGTAGGTTTTTACCTCGGCGTGGGCATGTTTGAAATTTAAAACAAAACCACTTTGCCGCTTTGCAAAGCCGTTGTAGCATGACTGGAGTGCAGGGACTAGGAGACTGCAACAGATTTGAGAACGAGCCAGGGAGTTCAGGAGTCGGTATGTGATCAGAGTGAAATCTGGGGAGCTACATGTATTTTAATAGCTTGAAGCGAAATCGGCACGGCCAGCGAGTACACTAATGCAAAATCGAGACCATGGAAATAGATAACACACCATGTACACAAAATGTAGATATGGTGAACAGGACAAATTATCGACTGCACATAGACTATTGTGTTACAGAGAGGTTCACGTAGTCTGATATTGAAAGAAACGAATCTGGACGTAAAAAATTTGTTTACCTTCCATTAATTTTAAGACAGGTTCATATTCCATGTTAACGAGAAAACTAACGTGAATTTGTGACGTCCGATCAAAATGTACGTGGCGTTACGAATTTACAAAAGTTGAACATTCTAAGTTGAGGGAAATTTTGCTGCTCATCTTCCATGACGTCAAATTCGCTTTGCTGTCGCATTTGCCTGAAGTATTGACTGGCCTTTACTGATGAAAAACATCTTATGCGCCCGTGGCACTGAATTACTTCGTTACCTTCGCGTGCCGCAGTTTGACAATCTTCCCGCCGACTTTCAAATAGGCAAGTCACTGTTCCCGCCCTTTGTCGTCACGCAGCTCTCTCCCGGCGACCAACTCTGGGTGGGCGCCTGGTGGCTGGGGCTGGCCATCACGAGCGCCCTCTACTTCGTGTCCTCGCTGCCTTTCTTTGGTTTCCCCCGTATCCTGCGGACCGGGCCATCGGCGTCAGACGCCAAGGCGGACAACTTCATGCTGGAGAATTCCACGACCAGTCCCGACAGCACTGACACGGAAACGGAGATTGTCGAACCTGCTCAAAAACCAAAACGACCGTCTTCTTTGGCTGGTGAGTATATTGCAGTCATTAAAAGACCTGATAATACCACAAAATGCAGCTTAATGAAGGGTGATTCCACGAAGATGACTAGCCCAATTTGTGACGGTGTCCTTATAACATGGGTAACTTTTACCATTTGTCATGGCCTGTAGAGTAGGTCATTTACTCTGTAAAAATAACACACACCTCTAGTCTGCAGCCTTGCAAGAAACAATGTCTATTTGGGATCCGCATGCAGGGAAATAGCTGTCTGTTTTTAGGGAACCCACATAACAATTGACATCGTCACAAATTGTGTCCCAACCTCATGGGATGACCCTGAAGACAGTTTCGTTTCACTTTTTAAGCCCAGGGCATTTGACTCATCTGCCCCTTTTAACCTCGGATGTCCCATTCCGTTCTTTCAAAACTTTGGCGGGTGTATGAAATATATGTGAATTATGAATACATTTTAATTAAGAATTTTCAATTTAATCTGCTAAACGGTTTTTGCAGTCCTTGTCATTTGTATATTAACGTGCTCGTGCGTGCCGACCCAAGCTCTCATCTCAGTATAAGTTAAAAGTATTTGTTGTTTACAGAATTTACCTGATTTCCATAAAGGCGCTTTTAGAAAGACCTCGAAATCCGTGGAAAAACAAGGGAAGGTTCACCTCCCAATAACCAACAAATGCGTTGTGACGATATATGGGAGAAAACGCTGCACAGAAATTGAGAATGAAGGCTGAATTTAATACATTAGTCAACTCTCCTTTTCGAGTCTTTTTTGCTTTTTCACATTTCCACATATGGGTGCCTAACTGCCTTGAGCAGAAGCACCCCCTCATCGGTTGAAAATAGCCCTGTTGGTGGCGAGTGTTCGTTTTTTGATGGTGGCGACGCGACCTTAAAGCATGAATTCCATAGTCGTTTGTGAACCAGCGAAGTCCAGCTACCACCAAACGATCCTCCTTTGCCAAGAAAATTGCGCCCTCTCTTGCTCCAGCTCGGGGCACATTAATATTAATCCACACTAATTAAAACTACAATTATGTACGCATTTCACCAACCGTGGAGGGCGGGCTTTTCTCTCATTAATTCGACAGCCTTGCCTAAGCTGGTGTGGCGTATGCTATGCAACCCGGTCTACGTGTGGCTCAACATCGCCAGTTTCTCCGAAATGGCCGTCGTCGCCGGTATGGTGACCTTTTTCCCCAAGTATCTGGAGACACAGTTTGGCTTGTCACCACCCGAGGCCAACTTTTTTATGGGTAAGGCGGAAGGAAAGCGTTTACGACACCTTCAATGTCTCCGTGGTTTTAGCTCAAAAGGTCGATGCAGTGCTCTTTGAATATAACTCTTGGAAATGTAAAAGTATTGTTTTGTCTCAATTGCCAGTTTTTGTTTTGCTTTTCTCAAGGATTATCAAGGTGTCATTCTGGTTTTGTGCTAAGGCGTAATTTCCATATTCATGAGCAAACCTTGGATGCCATACCAGGCGAAACTAACTCTTATTAACTACCCTTATGTTTGGTGCTAATTAACCTACTATAATATTTGATATTTTGCAATCTTCAAATTTCTTTCCTTTGGTAATTCATTGCTGTGTGTAATTGTAGCAATAAACCAACAGGCAACCGTTTCTAAAATATCTCTTCAGTGGCGAAAAGGAAAAAAAAACGTTACAGCAACCTTTTAAATTGTTCTCCAGTGTTGATCATTTAAAAAACCCGCAACTTTGGCTGGGAATCAACTCATTCCAGGTCAAACAGGACCAAGCCTCACGAAGTGTATCAAAGCTTACCTCTTACAGGAAAAGCGTGGTTTGTAGAGGTTGTATAAAAGTTTCTTACTCCAAAAGCAAGTTGTAACCGACATTGCCTTAACAGTTCGAATCAGTTAATTTAACATGTCTGAATCACCAGCATATTGGTTTTCAATCGTTCTGCTTCCTGACTGTCATATAAATACCATACCAAAGTACGGAGCCACGAGATGATCAGATCTGATCTGTATATAATATCATCTATCCTTCTGCAGGCGTTATTCCTGTACCGGCCGTTGCCCTGGGATCAGTTCTTGGGGGGTACCTGCTAAAGAAACTCTCACTGAAGGCAGACGGCGCTATGAAACTTGCCCTTGCCTGCAGTGTGGTCTCCCTGGTAGGCCAGGTGGTGTTGTTTGGAGTTGGCTGTGATAGTGTCGGCCTTGCTGGAGTGGATGTATCTTACTCTGAAGACCCATGGAACAGGTTGGTTGTGGTTGAAAAAAAAGACAGCGCCAGGAAATAATTGAAATCAGACACAGCTCAGTGGGAAATCCAACCAACCAAAGCAAATCCATTCTTAACCCAACCCAACAGAATTACCCAACCCTACCCAACCCAACCCACACACGCAAAAACAAACTCAATTCAACTCAACAAATCAACCCAGCCGAACCCACCCCAACCCATCCCACCTAGACCCACCGGAGCCTGGCCAATTCCCATGGGAATGTGTACACACATCTTGCAGCTGGCAGACATCAAGGGCTAGGATTGTGTACATGAACATCAACAGCTGCCTGGCTTGCCCATACCAGGCCCTGCCTGTGACACCCATAAACGATCCTTTAAAGGCTGTCGAGCCTCTTTGAAGCTTTGTGGCTTTCCAGAAGGCACGTGCCTGGGCAATTCTAGACACACCTAGGTAGCAGAGTAGGGTATAGCCCAAGGCTATTTCATGTGGCTTGTTACTGAAAGATATAACAGCAGTTGGGTACAAGCTTACTAGCTTTTTCGGTTTTTTTTTCTTTGCGGATTTAAACCACCCTCACCCTCGAATCTGACCACTTTAAAGCAGGAGTAGTATATATGTCCGCGTCAAAATGCTACTGCCCTCCCGCTCACGAAGCTTGATCATCAGTGGTCATCTAGTGATATTTTCCTCTCCAATTTCCTTCAAGGATTGACTTGACGGTGAACCTAACCAGCAGCTGTAACGTCGACTGTGGTTGCAACTTAACCAGTCCCGACGTCGTCTGTGGAGTCGACAGTATCACGTACTTCTCCCCCTGCCACGCCGGTTGCAAAGAAACCATCAACGGGGTAGGGTTATCTCAGTGTCCCAGTCTAAAATGGCTCATTGCTGGAATGCTGCGTTTATCCTTTGAATCAAACGGGATGTTTTGGGCTATGGCTGTGGATATTTTCGTTGTGAGTCGATAGCGTAGCCTGTAACTTCAACCAGTTTTGGTATCTGCCTTCAGCAAAAGCACCGCCTCAGTGTTGAAAAGAGCCATGTTGGTCGGGAGTGTTCATATTGTTGGTAGCGATGCCACCGCAACACATGCGTTTCATAGTCGTTTGTAAACCAGCGAAGGGCAGTTCCTACTAAATGAGCCTGCGTTGCTGTGGAAATTGCGCCCTCTCTTTGTCCAGCCCGGGTTCATACTAGCGCGTGCTTTGCGTGCATTTTAATTACAAGACAGCACTGAGCTTAAATTTGTTTCCGCTTCCTTCCCGTAGACGTATTTCAACTGCTCATGTGTGCAGGAGCCGACCAATCAGAATGCCGAGAGTGAGCCTGGCTCAGCCCAGCACGGCGCATGCCCGATGAGCAACTGCCAGATGTTGGCACCATTTCTGGCCATCACGTTCATCATTGCACTGTTCAGTAGCTGTGAGGAAATCCCCCAACTCTTGGTCATGATGAGGTGAGTTTATCGACACAGCGCGCCACCAAGAGTTGCCGCAGATGGGTTACTATACAAGTCTATGGTCGACACGATGCCGCTATTCAGCGCACTTCGTCCATAACTTTTGGATATTTGACTGATGGAGGCGTTCACCACACAAAACCATCATTTTGACGACCTAACATCTATTTGCAGCAAGCAATTTCGAATTTTTAACCAAGATAAACAAACACGGGGAAAAATTTATGTTTTCTGCCAGCGCAGAAAACTCTGCGCAGCCCCTCCTTGGCAACCTTTTGGCCATGCTCACTGCATTGTGAATCGCCCATATTCAAAGCCAAAAATAAAAGAACTAGGTTTTTCTTTTTTTTAAAGACCCGATGCGTTTTATCGATTTTCCAATGCTTGCTGCGCTTTCAAACTTTGTCCTGCGACAGCCGAGGTCGTGGGTGCGAAATCCACCCGTATCCGGCACTGAAGTAAAGGCACTTTAATTACAGAGAGGAAGGTAACGGCAAGGGTGAAAGATTATGTGATCAAGTTGCTTGTAACAAAACAGATTCTTATTTCATAAATCTGACGCCGTATCTTTTCGATATTCTGTTTCCATTGATAGGTGTGTCGAGAAGTCGGATAAATCCCTCGCACTTGGTGTGCGACACATTTTATTTCGAGTATTCGGTACGTATTTTATCATCTACAAGGTAAATGTGTTGAAGTCACCAAGGTCCTGTTGGTTTCACCGTGTATGTATTGAGGACTCGAAAAATGTCCTTTCCCAGTTTGAACTTGGGTCGGTGGAATGGCCTCTAAACCCTAGCCCTTTTTCGGTTAATTTCTTCATTAAAACAAAATTAAGGCCAAATGCAATCAACTCCCGTGTTTGCCTACCTCTTTTCATGCTGGACAGCCTAGTTTAGTCACCTCTAAGTTTGGGGATTCTTCTTAGCCAGAAAACTAGATACTCGCGAGCCGGTTTCTAGCCAAGTCCCATTGGAATGTGAATAAAGAACTCCGCCAAGAGGCCCTATGGGATTATTGCAGCGGGAGCCCAGGCTTGTCAGGGCTTGCCTAGACTTGACTCAAGTCAGGATCTCTGTCACGGTGACATTTTTCGGTTATGCATTGGATACAACATCGAGACCAAGCGCCCTTATACTTACTTTGCGCCCTCTTGTGTCCACTAATTACTATGAGTTCAGTTCAGAAATCCCAACTTGACGAATCTGCCAACCGTTTGTACACATCGAATAGGCTCATCTACCAGGTGTGGTAGCAGCCAATCACATACCTGCACATGATGAACTAGTCTACAAGCCTGACTACTTTGATTGGTGGAAATTCCGTATACATTATGCAAGATCATGTCGTTCATTATGCAATTATGAATAACTACATATCAAGGACGGGGGGTCCGATTGGCTTATCCGTCAAGTCGACTGAGTGGTGACGTATGACACCCTGACGTTGTACGATAAAGGCTATCAAAATGAGGGCGCCTTATTGGGTTATGCGAGCTGTCGGGTCCAGCGCGACGACCACGTAGTGCATGCGTACAGGCTGAGGGATGGCTGACTGGGGAAGAGCAACGGAAGTCCGACTTGATTCAAGTCTAGGGCTAGGCTAGCCAGGGTCAGTCATAATTATATCATGGCCAGCAGGCACTCTCCGATGTGTTTAGATCATTGACTGGCCGTTGGGAATAGAGCTGTGGCTTGGCAGTTGATGAGTGACAGAGGCTTGGTCCCTATAGGGACCCCCCTTCAAATTCAGGAGAAAAAATGTCTACTGATACACAGAAACGACATCCAGTACGTAGAGACCGCGTGTCTGTTCGAAGTAGGTCTAATAAGTTACATAAGAGTGGACTCCCTTCCGTTTTTCATTCGGGATTATACGTCCTTGGTGGCGGCTTTTATGGTCACACACCGAGCTGTTTGTAGAGAGAATTGTGACATGAATGTCTCAATTGTTGGCACCAAAATGGTGGATTATGTGTCGGCGACAATTAGCACACAATAATAGCTGTACATTGTACGAATAATAAACAGCCATGCATAGTCGGTTTCTAAAATCTAAAGCTGGCCTTAATCGCTTTTATACACAGCACTGGGCACAGGGTTTTCCTATCATGTGAGTTTGCTTGAAAGTGTCAACCTGACTGAGTTTTATTGATAATGGCTTCGTCTTCTGTCCCTCATTTTTAAAACAGGAAGCATCCCCGCGCCTCTGTACTACGGTGTGGCCATCGACGCCACCTGTCGCCTTTGGCAGCAGTTCTGTGGTGAGCAGGGCGACTGCTGGGCCTACAGCCTGCCCGATTTCCGCTTCACCTACATCGGCATCACAGTGGGTCTTAAGGCTCTCAGCACTGCAGCCTACGTGGTGGCCTGGGTCCTGCTGAAGAGACGGTCCGGCACTGATATGGCGCCTGCTGGAGGCGAAGGCACAATGGTCGTCGGAGACACCACGACAGCCTACAGGAAAGTTTCCGAGAATGGGGCTAACGGTGACGCACTGCTTGACCGCCAGGGGGAAAGCGCGACAGAAAACAGTGAGATGGCCGTCCAGCAAATCCCTGGAAATGAATCTTCTGTGTAGTTGTCACGTTTTCGTACGTGTTCATCTCCACCTTGCCACAGTGTCAAGAACCTTGACTTCAGTGTAAAAACCTTCGCGTCAATGTCACGAAATAGTTTCTACAGAGCCTCTAAATTTCTGCGAGGTGTTGACTTCTGTACAAAGGCTTGTCCGCATTCAGACATTCACAGTTTTATCCATTTTGACAATCAGTGTACGACACTGAGAGCTATGCGTATAATCTTATTGTATGATTCTTGTAACCGTTTCCAATAATGTATTCCTTCCTACTCCAGAAATTAGTCTTAGGCCTACTCGTGTATTTGTTATGCTTAGAGTCTTTTTCTTGTCTGTCCTTGCATTAATTTTGTCTATTCAAAGATAAGGGCTGGAAACGTATAATCAATTTCCTTCACCCTTTACTGCATGCACTATATAATTTATACTTAGAATTAGCATGTGGGAGAGAGGGGGCGGGGCAAGCCCCCGCAAGAGGCATGTCGCTGTTTGTTTCCCCTAGCGTTTTCTGCAACAAAAGATCAGTGTACTTCTGGTTTCAGGTACTGAAGCAAATTTGAAACTGTATACAGCTACCTAGGCTTTCTTGGAGAGGGGTGTGGATCTTGTGAGGATGTGAATTTGGACCATAGTTTCTCGGAAAACATTCCAATTCCCCGCCGCTGCCCACCCAACCCCCTCAAAATCTGGATACACCACTGACCCCAGGTACCAGTCACCGTTATTGGGCTTCGTTCAAAACCTGTCATTTCATTATTTTCCCATTGTTCTGTAGATATTTCGCCAACAGCATGCCAGCATGTCAAGTATTTTCGTGTCACGATTGAACTAAATTGTTTTTGGTTTGTCAGTTTTCCAAAGTGAGAAATTGAGTTCTCCATACTGAAGACACTGTTGCTACACTTCTTGATTCAGAGCAAGCTTTTGCTTAGTTCGATAAGAGACACCTTGCACCAATACACTGTTCTCAATGGAAAAGAAAGGCACGAAGGAACCTGTCCATTCCAGAGATGGAATGCAAAAGCTTAACCCGAATCAGGACAAACACAGGGTCGGTTCAGTTATTGGGCAAAGAAAAGCACAATGTCATTTTACGATCTTTGTTATAAGGATGTAACAGTCGACGATTCACAATGTAGCGCGCCTCCATGCTAACTGCGCTGTGCGCGGGAAACTTGATATTTTTCCCCAAAACGTTTGTTTATCTATCCAAAAAAAATCCACTATTTTTCTAAAGGACGGTTGTATTCGTCCCAACAGGAATAAAAGTGATACAAAGCAACTGTAACTACATCTTTATGGATTTAATTTTGTCGTCAGCGCAGGAGTGAGTTACGAGACAGGAAAAGGAACTAATGAAAGGAGAAAGTGGGACAAAATCAGCCCCGATGATGCCCTCTTGAATATTAACATGTCTGTTGCTTACTTGACTCTCCTCCCCGGAAAACTCTTGGCTACGCCCAACTGTGAGGTTAATTGAAGCAGGTCTTAAGAACTGGGATACCAACGGAGTCACGTGATACATGCAGCATTCAGATTCTAGTATCATAACTCTTACGACTTTTAATTTCATAAAACACTATAGTGTTGAGTGAGGAAGTTATGGTCATTTTTGTATACCGAAAAAAAATCAGTCGGCCGTAGTTATTTCAATTCTCCAGAGGGGCACTGACCCCCCCCCCCGTGACCTTTCGTCGTCCCCGAGTTGCATCGATATTAGGCCTGTGTTGTTATTGTTATGTGTGTGTTTTCCATTTTTGTGCGGAAAAGAAGCAAATTGAGGCAGTTGATTGGCTGGTAGCTGTCAGCTGACTCTGGTCGAACTTCCATTGATTGGGTCGCAGAAGGGGACACTTGACGTGGAGAGCCAGATCCTTGCATTAATAAGAACACTCGACTCAGACTCGAGTCGCAATTTTTGTGACTCGTGACTTGATATGTACCAATGCCGCTGAATAGTTATAGAAGGCCGATAGAGGGCGCAAGCAAAATTAAATCGCCGTAACACTATGTTAACTTTTTCAAATCTCATAATTGTATCTATAACACCAAATATAAGTTAGAAGTTCTCGAATCAATTGGGAATTTACTTGCTCCGAAATTTGATTCATAGTTTTTAATATTTTGGATATATTAAATTAACAATCTTCTAGCCGTAATCTGCAAAGTCAGCGGCCGAATAAATTGACTCACAAACTCAATGCTGCTGTGTAGCTGCAACGAAACCTGCGTTTCACAAATGTCGGCTTCATGCAGGCTACCAGGGCAGTGGCTTTGAATATCGATAGGACTCCAAAAAGGAACCAGCGAATTGTCAGATGACCCGATATCACATGATAAAATACCCACGCACTTCATGCATGCCTTGTGTTTCTCCCTGCTTCATGCATTGTCATGTGGGGTAAGTGACGATTAGTGTGGTGAAGTTCTACTTCAAGCCCTGGGTGGTTGCGAGAAAAATTTCTATTTATTACCGACCAAGGCTCCGGTTTTTCCAGTAAAGATGAAGCTTGTTCTTTTAGCCGTCCTTCTTTGTGCAGCGGTCGTCAGGTGTTCAAGGTAGGCCTAACTTCTTTACTTTATTTTTTTTTAATTTTAAGACTAGTCTTTGCAGCTCGGCGACCGTCCACGGGGACTGTTAGCTTAGTGTTAGTAAACAGGGCCCAACGTATCTAGTCCTTCGTCATATACTGGGCCCTGTCCCGATAGTGATTTCTTTCGAAAAAGTTTATCCAGGATATCTGGGCAACCTGGGGCATAATCAGACATCCGCCATGCCCACTGGATTTTATGAGCTGAAATTGCACTGGTAGGTTCTCTACTTGACAGAGTTAACAGGTAAACTGTCCCAGTTTCTGGGCTATATACGAGTATACATCAGGCCCTGTTTGCGGGTCTAGGTGACTGACAGTAGCCTAGGCCCTACCACTTCACTGTCGACAGTCATGGCTGCAGTTTTTAGGCTAAAAGTACCATGTTTACTAAAATAGGAAAACAAATTGAACTAAAACATTAAACAAGCATGACAAAATCATGCCATTGTCACTCAAACTTAACTCGTGAAGAGTTCCATGTGGACGCCAGTAATTATTTTGGGTTTGCTCCATCAGAAATCAAAAACATGCCCAGAAAAGTTCATGTTTAGGAGGAGAAATACCAAGACATTTCTACAGTATTAACATCCATGACGGTATAGTCACTACACCAGGTCCCTCATTTCAGCTTGTACCAGTCAGACGAGGGCCTAGTTGGAAAATTAGGGACCTTGTGACTGCAAGATCATATTACATGTAAAAGTTAGAAGAGGGACAGGGATTTTTTCTTTCCTTGTCCTTATAAGGTATTGCTGCAACCATGTAACCCTTAGAATTTTTGAATATGTACATTTATAGCTTTCAGGTAATAAAGATAAGGTGCAGTCACATGTAAGGCTGCATCCGAATCTGTTGTCTAGAGCTAGGTCTAGGTCTTCACTCCATTGACAATGCGCGGAGACGCACAGACAATAGACCTAGCCGTAGCTCTCGAAGCCCGTTTCGGACACGGCGTCGGTTTACAACTACTCATGTATGGTGTATGTGTTCAAAGTTGGCGATCTGATCTTTTTCATGCCATCTTGATCAAAGGTTGGTATTCTGTACACACTCATGTGACACAGAATTTCTGATCTAAGGGCTGTGAGCATTGTTGATTCAGATATTTGACCGATCATTTTATTATGTGGTGGTAAAAGTAAACAGAATAAAAAAGGAAAAATTTCAGTCACGTGCATTCCGGTATTTCCAAGTTCTGCGACGAGAGTTGTAAACTTAAACACATCTACAGTGTGTACGAGTAGTTAGTAAATTATGCCCAACAATGAAGCCCAACCCTTCTTTTCCTTCAATCTTTTTTTTGGAAATTTCCATGCTTTGTGTCCTGCTTTTCTGGGAATTTAGTACAATTGAATATTCAATGGAAAAGAAGGTTGAATATTTGAGTATTGAATTAATTGATTTGACTCAGCATGTAACTCCTGTTACAATGTACGTGTACGCTGTACCTTGCCTTCAACATGTTTATAACCACTCTCATTTTTTTCAAGATGTATTTTTGCGTTGGGGAGATGTTAATTATATACATGTATATAACGTTTTTTTGCCCGTACCCAACGTATATTAACAAGCACTGTATGCTCAGTGCTTGTCCGGGAGCTTGCAAAAAAAACCT